GCTGGTGGCCCCGCGCTGCCCTCACCTGCGCCTCCCCGCGGGGACCACGTCCCCTCGCTGCGCCCCGGCAGCTGGAAGGGCTCTCCACGTCCGCAGGGCGAAGAAGAAGAGCCACAGGCGCAGCTCGAGCGCCAGCTCAGCTGCCACCCAGGTGTCACAGCCCTGTGCACCAACGTGAAGAAAAATCACGCACAGGATTATTTCTCCAATTAACTCTAGACTTTCCATATGAACCTGCCAAAGAAATTGGATACAGTCACAGCACATTACTTAGATCATAAAACCCACTAATTAATAATTGAAGAAATCGGCTTTTACAAGATTATTCTCTTGCACATGCAAATTAATATGATTCAATTAAAGGAATAATCTTCCTTTCCGAACGGTGACCTCAGCATTCAATTCCATATACTACAAAAGAGAAGCAAGATTCTTGCAATAACATTAACGTTATAATAAAAGTAAAATCAACTGCACAGTTTTAGAGAAGGAAACTGAAATGTAATAATTAACATCTCATACAACGCACAGCTTCGGTACAAAACCCCAGAGGTTCTTTTCCAACGTGGAAAAAGAGCTGAAGAGCAGGTGGAGGGAGCTGGTTCCGCGGGCGCCACAGCTGCAGCGCGGAGGAGCCGGCCGCGAAGCGCCGCGAGCCGCGGGGCAGGGCACGCGCCTTCACCCCCATCAACGTCTTCAACATTTACCGGGGACATTTTTAAGTCAATGCACCGTCTTCCAGCTGGTACCAAAGATCTGAACGCCCAAATTTGCACCGAACCAGGGTGCATTTATCTACTGTCGGTCTTTCAGCATGCCAGCATGCCTTGGTATCCGTAGGACAGTTCATCGTAACAAGTTTCGGGCCCTACAAATTAAAGATGGCTACTTTTTTACTTTTTTTTTTCTCTCTCTTTTTCAATGGTGAATGTGTGAAATCCTGAAAATCTCAAAATGAAGAAATCTCTGAAAACCAAGAAAAATGAAGAATGGGTCATGTTTCTCCCTGTCCAAATGCAGAATACACTTTTCTCAGTAATTCCGAACACTGACGCTGCCTCGGGCGCAGAGGCGGCCCGCGCTCGAGGAGCTCACGCTGCAGCAGCTCACCCGAGGCACAGCTCTGTTTCCAGCGCGACGTGCACACACACACACGCCAACCCATGCCGTGCTCGTGTACTGCTCTCGTCTGCACAGTGGCAGCACGGCAGCGCCAGCCCGGGAACGCTCCAGGCCTCCTTCCCGAGCTGCAGGCGCGAGCCCTGGCGCGTTACAGACCCGGTGTGTCCCACGGGGTGTCCGCGGTCGCCCCCGTGCCGCCCGAGCACCGGCGGCGCTCAGGCTCCGCGGCGTAACGCCCAGCCCGGAACACGGCCGCTGCTGCTGCAGCGTATTGCTAACTGCGTCTATCAACAAATTCCTATTCAATATTGTAACGCTGAGATTTGCCTCCAGGCTTTAGGGACGGGGAAAATCTGCAAAAATAAAAGTATAATTTATAATTGCCAGCCTTAGACTGATCATGTCGCTGTATAAAATTCCGAGAAAATCAGAGACTGAACTAAAAAATAAGAAATTTAGAATCTAACTTCACAATTATTTTCCAGACAAGGCTGGTACTTCAAAAATCAAGCAACCTACTGGTGATCACTGGGTCAAGAGCTACTGACTGAGTTCAGTCCGCCAGGATCATCCGGTTCTAACTTCACAATTATTTTCCAGATAGGGCTGGCACTTCAAAAATGAGGCAACCTACTGGTGATCACTGGATCAAGAGCTCCTGGCTGAGTTCAGTCCGCCAGGATCATCCGGAGCCCTCTGAAAGCACAAAGGGACCCGAGGACACACAGGTGTAAAATCAGCAGAACCGGCCGAGGTGTACCTGACTGTTACTGCGCAGGAATCGGAGTTCAGCTCTGCTCTGCGTGCCCTCGATGCCCAACTTCAGCACATGGGATTTTGGCATGCTAACTCGACAGCACGATTCCCTCTAGGAAATCAGAGAGGAAGCATGGGTGAATTTATTTATTATGAAATTCCTGTGACTTTACAACACCTGCACGCACTACTAATTGTATGGAATCTGTAGGATAATTTTTAAATGGGTGGACAATATAATCACTATTATTCCCTAGATATTTTAAGTATTTGAATATATACTTCTCTCAAACCCCCTACAGCAGAATTACATTTTCGTTGTCATTTAGATTCAAACGGGAGATTGTCTCAAGATAACGTATAACAGCCGACATAAGTGTAAACATACGTCTGGGAAAGTTACAGCAGCAGGACGCGCTGCTCCCAGCCCCTGTGCGTGCGCCGAGGCCCGAGGCACCGAGAGGGCACGAGGGCATCCCGGGGCGCCTGCCAGGAGCTGCTCCTCAGTCTCCAGGGCACAGGATTCAGAGCGAACACGCAGCTCACACAGACTCAGAAACATCTGGGAAAGTGTCGTGTTTTTGCTGTCTGCTTTAGTGACAGACAGGAATTGATGGGTTTGATTCACGCCGTCCAACTGGCGCAAGAAACGCCCCCATTTCTGCAGCGCCTTCCAGGCCGAGTGTCACAGAGGCGACGTGTGCCAGCTCCTGACCAGGGACCCTGTCACCCTGCCCGTCCCCCTGGCCGGCCGCGCTGCGCCCTGCCGCGGGCAGCACGTGCAGCTCCCACACCTGCACCTCTCTGGTGCAACGCCGGCATGCGGCAGCGCGGCTCACCCCAGCGCGGCTGCTCTCCAGGAATCCCGGCCCCGCTTCGCTTTCAGGCAGCTGGATAACTGATTAACCCGTGGCTGTGTGCAGCCTTCCCCTTTGCTGGCTGTAATGCTGCAATTTGGTGAATGTCAGAGCCCCCACGAACACAGAGCCGGGCAGCCGCTTCCAACAGCTTCGTTTTCAGCGGTGTGTCCGAGCTGGCACAGGGAGCACCACAACTTGAGGCTCAAAGCCCGTGCGCACCCCCACAAGGACCTTGAACCCACAGCCTCCTACAGCAGCAGCAGCGCAGCAGCCCGGAGCACAAAGCGAGGCAGGTGCCCGCACTGCCCCTTCCCCTCATGCTCAAGGCTGCTACTGGCACCGTCCGCTGCCCCTCTTGGCCCAGCTCCTTCAGTGGAAACTGCGTGAGCACACGCAGAACAGGCGAGACCTGGCCCTGCTCAACACTGGGGCCGTTCTGTTACTGCCTCCGCCGGACCAGGATCATTTTAGCTGCAATATGACTAATTCCCCGATCCATTTAGTGGATCATTCTCTCACTTTATCAGTTGCTCTGCATGGCAGTGTACCACGCACACTGTGCTGTCCAAATAATGTCTGGAGGGTTTTTTGCAATAATATACTTTAAATATACAAAAAAAAGATTATTTAAGACTGCTACTTTCCTAAACACTTTGAAAATTGTGCACTTCTTTTACAATCTTTCCTCTTCAAGCAGCTAAAGTGTTCCAAATTAATTCTCAATCTTCTAGCTAACTTCAATGGGTTTCAAATACCACAATGCACTCCGTGGTGTGCTCTGCAATTCAGCAGTACGGTTTCTTGAAGCTCAAGTATAATTTTCTGCAGTTATCTCCTTTCCAGTCAGACTTGTGCTCTCATTTGCTAGCAATCACTGGAGTGCTCTTCTCACGTGGAAATCACGTCTGCCATACGAGTCCCTTCTGCATCCTTTACCTTCACTGCAACTCATTTTCTCACCCACCAGGCAGCAGAACTGCAAGGGTCACTTGCACCTGGGCTTCTCAGAAGGTCCTTGAGAATGGAAAGATGCATCCCAGGTTGAACACTCGTCCAATCCCTCTGCTCTTCCACCCAACACATCCCTGCCTTCAGAACCAACTGCCTTTCTTCAGACAGCATGCCCCTGTGAAGTAATTTTCACAATGCACTGCTCTAAAACAACCTTATGTTAATTAAGATGAGAGACTACTCATAGCAAAAACAGAACTGCAGTGCAGGATTATCCACATAGTTCCACCAAAATAATTCCTGATGTTTAAAATGTTCAGACATGTATGTATATGTGTATATATACACACACCCCCAAACAAGTGCACAAACCACCGAAGCACAGCAAGCACAACCATTAAACACAACTCGGGCATCCTTCAGGAGCCCTCGCCCCGGTGCTCGGCCGGCTCGTGTGCTGCCCCTGTCCCAGTGTGCTCGGGAGGACGGGCACCCCCAGCTGCGGGGACAAGGACCTTGATGGCCTCTCCGTGGCCAGCCAGGACGTCTCCATTGCCAGCAGGGCAGCCAGGTCAATCCACATCTTCCAAACTCCAAGGTGGCTGCACCACCACCGCTGCGTATCATACAGGAGTATCAAGAGTGACTTCGGCAAACCCAAGAGGAAGACTGTGCAAGAAACGGGATTCCAGCCAAACACCCGTGGTTCTTGGTGTTTTGTGTTATTTATATTCTTCTCAGATTTGGTAATTTTTTACACTTGTCCATACAAGATGTAATTATTTGTTACAACTTGTACGTGTAACAGCTTATTTGTGATTATATTTCAAACCCACCCGAGCTGGCTCTACCGCTCCCGTTCTCAGGGCCACGGTGCTCCCGCCGGGCACCGTCTCCACGGCGCTGCCGGGTCCCGCCGCGGCGCGGAGCGAAGCCGGGCCTGGCCAGAAGGGTCCTCCCGGCAAGGGAAGCGCTGGAGCTGCCGGGCAGCGCCGAGGGGGAGCAGGAAGGAGAGGAGCCGCGCCAGGGCTGGGGACGCCAGGGACCTCCTGCGTGAACACGAGCGGCCGAGACGCCTGCGAATGCGCGGGAAAAACCGCTGCAGAGAACCCGGGGAGAGGAGCAGAGGGGAAGGCTGAAGTCGCAGCCCAGAGCAGGGCCCCCAAGGCAGCAGGCCTGGATGGGGCAGGGATGCAGCGCGCTCGCTGGGCCGCCCCGCCGGGCTCTGCCGAGCAGCACATCTGCCTGGCTGAGATTAGCGATGTGATTTAGGAAACAAGCTCCCGCAGATGGAGCGTTCTCGGTGCCCTTCGGTCTGCTTTTGGAGCAGTCACGCACTGGTTTTATCGCTGAAATCCCATTGCAGGTGGCCAAGGCCTTGGGGACGGCCTTCATCCAGAGCAGCAATGGCCGACCCAACGCAAGGAGAGGCCCTGCCCGCTGCCGCCGGCGCGGAACGCGCTCTGTTATAAACCTGAACAAGAACTCGCACGCTTTCCAAATGACTCGGGAAAAACCTTATCGCGAGGGGCCCGCAGAGCTCTGCCCCAGCGGGACCTGCAGTCACGTTTGGCTCCTTCACACAGCAGGTGGCTCCTCGGGGCACGGAGCCGGGGAAGGAAGGGGGCTGAAGACCTGCACACACACCAGCTTCCTGGGAGCCCAGCCCAAAACCCGCCCGGCTCCCCACAGCTGCCCTTCTGGATTGCTGCACCGGGTTAACACAATCGCGCCCCATTCATTTTATACAAATTTTCTCAGGAAATGAAAAACCACGTGCCTGAATATTTAAGAACTGCATTTCTTTTTCCTATGTGAACATTGAAAAACGTGTTACGAGTCAATTTGCCCAGCTTGAAATTGATCTTCCTGCTCTGCATTCATAACTATACCTTCCTTCAAATAGCAAATTAAGCAAAATAAATGATGTTAATTACTTTGCCTTGAGTTCAATGTGTGTTTCAGAAAGGGCAATTATTATTAAGACCCAGCTCAAGGA